TAAGGTCTTTATTAATAATTGCTTTACCAAACCTTCTATCTTTGAGCATAGTCGAAACAGACCCCAGTGTCGATTGTTTTATTTGTCCCGAGTCACTAGGTTTTGGTAGAAGGTAATTGGTCCTATGATCCTGCGCGTGCACGCATCGTATTATGTGCTAATAAGCAGCCAAACTTCAATGCGCTAATCAAGAAATTAATCCATCATTTTCTTCTTGGACTAAGCCGATTTTTCGCTAAAAATGTTAGTCATAATATCAGCGGAAATGTAGTGCTCTTTAGTGTTGCATTGAAAATTAGTTGCTCTGCAACCAGTCAGTGATCTGGAGGTGTATTTGAATGTCTTCCCATGTTGCGATGAGCCAAATTTGAGTGGAGGCACAAGTAAGAATGGTAGCCATAACCAACTTTCCCGATCTTATTTTCTATTCATAAATAAGAGTCATAAATGCGGTCTAACAATCGATTACTGTAGTCAGCAGGCCCTTCTTCCAAGTCTACATTAGTTAAGTGGGGCGCTTAAGCCTCAACAGGTTACATACCTATCCCTTTATCATGGCCACTGGATCATGTTGGCGACCTTCATTCCTACATTTTGACGTATTGTAATTAATGAATAAAGTGCACAATATCAAAATATCAGGAGTCCAACATAATCCTTCTCTAGCCTGACTAAATTTTAATCAACAACAGTCCGAATTCATGCAATACTTAGTGATTTTTCCTTTGATGGATGGATCCTTTCCATGCGAGCCCTACATTTTGTAATACAAACGATTTCCGTATGCAACAATAGCAAAAAAGTAGGAAGGACGTTTCACTTTATCTGTTGGCCAAGCATATGTGACCCGCTTATCGGTTAATGCGATCCAAATTTTTTTGATTTCCCTATTAGACATCCGTTTGGCAAAGTCGTCCTATTGGTCCAAATTTTCCAGATTCTTCCATACTTGAAGGTTTTATTGAACTTTTGACTCCTTGTTCCTACAGTCAAGAGTTCCACATTCGGAATCACCAACACGTTGCGTTTCATACTGCAACAAAATTCCTGATTTTTAATTTATTTTTTATGATTAGTAGTTTTTAACTGGCTTAAACTGGTTTCATTAGAAGGAACTAGGGCTTGAGTTTCGATATTTGTTTCTCTTAAAAGTTGCTGTTTTTATTCATCGCCACGCATTATGCGGCGGGGTTGAAATTTTATCCTCCCCATTGCCAATGGTACCCCCAGCAATCTGTTATTGCATTCCTGTCAACCAATCGCCTTTTACCTCGGTCTCTTCATGACCTTCAAAACAAAAGTTTCCTCCATAGCAATTGTTGAGATAAATCAGTCATTTTCTCTGTCTTTATATTAAAAGGGGGACAAAACTAATAGTTGAGTTAGAAATTTCGGCTTTTAAAGTAGGACGAACTAAACCATTTCATTCGTAGCACCAAATGTTAGAGGCACACATGGTCTTTGATAAAATCATAAGTAGAAGCTGGACATTACTTTTCACACATGCTGAGTGATCAATAGGATGATTGGGGCAATAATTTGTCATCACAGACATAGTCATTTTGGTTTAATAAATAGATTGCCATTAGAACTGCTGGCTACACTGCTATGCAATTTACCAAAGCCCCGAAGAATATGGCTAACTTTATTGCCTGTCTTTAAGCGGCTTAAAATGGCAACTTATTATTGAACTTATTATTGCCTTTTTCACATTTATTGTAATTTAATCAGCCCAACCTTGTTTTAGTCATTGGTCCTCTACCATAAATCATTATTTGTTTAGCCCAGCGTCGTTTGAACATAAATGCCATGGGACAGAATAGCAACCTCAGGAGAGCTTAGTTAATGAACCAACTGAACATGTTTTAAAAGTGCTTTTGCTAGCTTTTATCGATGCTTTTGATTTCAAATAGAGATAAACAAGGATTGTTCACAAATTCAGCATTGAAATCCACTTGCTAAGCCCCAATCTGTGCGAAGGGCTTGTGGGGAGCATGTGTTACGTTAGAGTTGTACGGTCACCCTCGTTCTCACAAAATCGCTCACACTCGACCTTTCATTTTTTAAGTGCGACCTCATGAAGACCCCTACAATTGCTGTAAACACATGACGCTAAAATTATCCTTATTGCACAAACGAGGTAATTATGGATAGTACCATGAAGCACGCTAATAAAATTTTACTTGCAACAAAGAGTTCCATTTCGTTTAACTATGTAGGACCTTAATCTAGTTAATTCGACCTTAAAAAATCTGGCTAAATAAAGAAAATTAACTTTATAAACTCCGATGGAAATGTGAACGAGATGTTAATGGACAAGATAATTAATCAACAAGCTGAAAATATTTGAACTTAATGAAAGTTCCAGTGTTGATAGACTAAGGTGTGCTAGACTTTTGCATTGAGGTGAGTTTGCGTCGTTTGAGGTTTACATCCCACAGAATCACTCCTATTGTGGAGCACTCTTATGCCTTCTAATTAATTAAGGCGAAGGCTCATAGATAAATAAATAAGGCTGTGTCCTTTTCTCACCTAAATAGAGCTTATCAAGAGGTCGCTACTACTTACCGTAAGATGCACAATTAACTACATTTTATAAACTTCTTAAACAAGAGCGATAAGAAAAATGAATATAAGATCTAGTGGTGACAACAGCTTTTAGTTTTAAAGAAGTCATGGATTAGAACAAGCCTGCGTTTTTATACGCACAAAATATGAACGTCAAAACTACTTGTTCCGATGAAGATCATCTGTTTTTTCTCTGAGATTGATTTATATTTCAGATTCATTTACGATATTCGTATATGGCAAGTAGAAAACGCTCTTAATTCTTTCCGTAGATTTAGGATGAGAGTCATAATGACCATCATGTTTGGGGCAAAGGTCACAGTAGGAAGGCTTGATAACTTAAAAAAGCTGCAATTTATCACGAAATAAGCATAAAGGGGGCTATTTGTATCCATCGTATTGAATATTAATGAAAATGAGTGGTTTGTCGGAGTCTTAAGCCGGACTATCATAGTTTGCGATTGGTCCCAACTTGGCTTCGTTCTCCGTTGTTGTCGCCCTTCAATAATGTTCATGAAGGTATCCGCGCCATTGTTGGCGATAATGCTGTAGTGCCTCCGCGTTTGTGAGACGATTCCATATTAGAGTAGAAGAAGTTGGGGAGGGACAAGAGGTGAGATTACCAACGCTACCCTCCAGGCGCATTGAAGGCACACCACGCCGCTCGATTTCATACGCAATTAGCTGACGCCAGAAGCCTGGATTAGGACGTACGCAGGGTCGGAGACGGTGGACGTGGTGGTAGGCTTCTGCCAACGTCATGCTTGAGTGCTTTACAAGGTATGCAAGAACTAGGCTGGGTGAGCGCGAAACTCCAGCCACACAGTGTACAAGGGTGCGCCCTCCGCGTCGTGCCTCCCGAGCTATGCGATCCGCAACTGAGTCAAAATAAGCACTTAGGTCTGCGCTTTCTATGTCTTCTACACAAATCTGTACGTGAGATCGCGTCCGGGATCCATCTTCTGTCAACAGCTCTGCTGGAAGTGCCTCCACCATAGCGGAAATCACTTGCGTCACGCCGTAGTGCTGTAGTCGGGCCGGTGTCAGTGCCTCCAAACTGCTAAGGTAGAGGTGGTCATTGATCTTTGCAATTTGACTAAACATCCTCTTAATGTTCCTAACCTCATTTGCTTCTCCCTGCCCGTCTTGTCTGGAAGGGGCATCCACATTTTCTGATTGGCCTAAATGATTACAACCAATAGGCGATGCACTAGCGTAATCTCCTGATATCACGAGGTTCATTCTACGTGACTGGATGCCGTAAAATGTGTACGTTAGCATTCGCCCCCATTTTATTACGAACACGTATTTCTGCCCTTCGTTCAACAGATCTAGTTTTAGTAATCCCCATATGAACGAATTCGGCACCCTCATTTGTGGCACAATTCCCTTAAACTAGTCCTAGTCGATGAAGAAAGGGGAAAAAAGGAAGTAGCCTCTAATTTCTGATGACTTATATGAATCAGCAACAGATAGTACCGATTCTAACTTTATTTTCTCCGAAATATATGATGATGAATTCTTATATCTTAAAACTTTGTGTCAATAATGACCATTAACGGAGGCTGTGAGCGTATCAGCTCATTTTAACAACCTTTCCACTTTTGTGTCCGTGTTCAAACCTAACCTTTTATCTTCTTCCATGGCATATTCGCTCATTTCTCAAACTCATCACTGTCAAGGCACAATAAAGGATACCATCGATTGTGCTACCACGATCAAAGTAGAGAACGTTATTAAAGTATATTTGTGCAGATGCTCAATTTTGCCATTTTCTTCCAAAGAGGCCGACTGCACAGCGCTCTGTTCAACGATCGTCATAGAATAGCGCTGGCCTATCATTCATTTGCTCGTGTATACTGTCTACACTGCATTAGCAGCCACTTCAAAGCCTGACAAGGGACTGTAACGTTTGAAATTTAATAGTCCGACTAAAATACCTTACAAAGTTCGGTTTATATCTTTAGGCGTTTAATAAACTGCGTGTGTCTATTGGCCAAATTTTGGTTGACCTTTATGCGGTTGTGTGTAAACATTAGGCACTACAATCACTAATCTGATTCGCATGTGATGGAGACAAGAACCATCGGCCGATGCATTGATGCGAATGAATGGATGATGACTACCTTTGGCCATCTATCCTCCCACCACCTTATTTACGATCGAGCACGCATCAGCTCATCCAAGTCAGAGTAGTCTGCAAAACATGGGAAATTTTTTCGACCGAATAAGGGAAAAAATTGCAGGAAATTTCACATGTGAGTATCCACTTTATAAAAGGCACGCAGTCTACAAGTTAGATAAAAAAATTTTAAGAGAGGCAGACCTGGATTTGTAGAGGTGCCTTGCTCTAATAAATACAGATTCAGAAATTCTTTACAAAGGTGAGGGGGTAAAATATGATTAAAATTCTTCCCTATGTACTATGTGCTCATGTACATCGATAAAATTTTCTAACTGTACACATTTTATGCAAAGCATTTGATCGTCTTTGGCTTCATCTATCAATCAAATTCTGATTAGACCAGTATTTGATTTGTTGTGTTCAGCTCATTCTAAAATGCAGGAAACAGGATGTTAGTTTTTACAAATCTTTGGTCCAAACTTAGGTGCGACAAAACACGGTGTGGAATGTTTGGAGCATCTACTCAATGTGGGAAACTGCAAGTCAACAAAAAGACGCTGTGCCAATTAAACAAAGGAGTAGATATTCAAGAGCAATTCGAACTTAGACATTAAGCCCTTTTTCTTTCGGCCTTTGGATACATACCTTATTTCTTATGGCAGAAACGGCAAACACATATTAACATGACCAGCAGAATGGGGATGCCTACTGTCAACGATATAGCGAGAACAACCTCTATAAAAGGAAAATTTTAGAGTGCGTGCACCTAGTGTTCTTTGTAATTTTGGGAAATTCAGTTCCAATAAATTAAATAAGACCTTGTACATCCAGTCGCATTTCAGACAAATATTACATTAACATCTGTTATGATTTCTTATTTTGCGGACTTGAAAAAAGAAGCATTTTAGAAGGGGAACAACTTCAAAATGTAAGTGCAAATGTTTTCTCCATGTGCAAAGTCCACACTTGTCTCTGTGTCGGACCGACTTTGGAGGCCAATAATATTCCATACTTAAAAGATTGAAAATGAGTAGAATTTACTTTAATCAAAAGAAGATGAAGAAAGAAAACGTAATGCATCCTCAGTGTCTTACTTAACGACGGGTTGAAATCTGGCAAATCGATGCTCGGATCTGCTGGACCAATGAAAAAATGCTGAAGGGCATAAACTGTCATGACTGTCGTCATAATAAAGTTCAAATTGCCGATGAAAGTAGCAGAGTTGTGGCAAAGTAAAGAAATTTTACACCTAAATCTTGTCACTCATTGAAAATTTTCTAGGCACTTAACACGAATGAGACATTTTTACGTATAATAATGTAATGCATAAGTTGGTTCAGAACTCGAGGAAATATGCAGTTTATTTGCATTACCTCTGGTTGATAAACTTTCAGGCGTATTTGTAGACTGAAGACCTGAACCTGCGATTATAAGGAGCAAATATCTTAGTTGCTAGGCCCAGTTGCGTTGAAATGATGTGGAACAGTGAGTTACAAAGAAGACTGAGACAAGTGGTATAATTCGAAATTATAATAGGTTAATTTAATGAGGAACACAAGTTTTTTGAGCTGTTATTTTACTGAAATTTGGTCGGCGAACTATACTTTTCACTATATTTGGTAGTCTTTGTAATTTGGAAGTATTTATGTAGGGGAAATAATATGACAGGACTCACATGATGCATTTAAATAGAGGCAGGGGCTTAGGACTAATATCACCCAGCTTCTGTTCGTCCACATTGGTGTAATGATAGAGAGCATCAGGCCATGCAAGTTTGCACCACATTCCATTCTGATTGGCCAGCCTGGCACCAAGTGGGCAGCGTTTACACCTCGTCCGGCCAAGGCTAATCGACTTGCGATCGGTGCAAGTCATCCGGGCTACATTCTACGCTAATATTTTGCAATTAATTCAATGCCACTTTTGAGTCATTTCTGCTGCTAAGGCTTCGACTTAAGACTTACGGTCCAGTCGGGCGGTCGCTCGTTAGGTTGACCGGCTATTAGGATTGTAATAGGTCAATAAATGGGAAGAAGTCAAAGTGGCCATAGCGTACGATCTGGTACCCCATCTAAGAAGGTAACCCTCTGCGCGAGGATTAAGCTGTGATTTTAAAGATACCCATCGTACTTCGTAAAAAAAGGAGTAGATTACGATTTATGACTTCTAAAACTTGTGCCACTTAGTTGTGTTTGTGGTTGCTTTTTACCAAAGTGGTTTCCAACCTTTCGTTCTGTTTTAAAAGCCATAAATGAGCCTCTCCTATGTCATTACCATTGACTATTTCCCTTCAGTTAGTGAGCAAGCATTTGGCCCTTAATTATCGAAAACCTTCAAAAGAAAATGAATTTCCCTTTTAAAACTCGAAATTGGGTTTAAGGTGAAGTTTCGATGGCACATTTTCATAAGCATCGTAAAAGGCACAAAAGTACATCATGATGGCGATGGAATTTAATCCTGTCTCAGGCACCTATTTAATGACGCTGATTGCGATTAGAGAAACTAATAGCACCAGCGGTCACCAAAAATAAGGGGGTCAGACCAACTTTCGTATCGATTATTCGGTTCAAAAATGCATTATTTGGCTCACTTAACACTCTAAGTCATGCCGTGCGGTAAGGCATTTTCTTCACTTATCTGCGCTTGGAAACACTGCCAACAAGGATGCTTTTTAGTTCCTCTTTGATAAACTAATCAGAAAGGAAGATTATTTTGTAGGCGATCACTTGTGAATGCTTATAGATAGTGTAAATCGTGTCAAAATTGTCAAGAATTTATTAAGAACTTGATAAATTTGCAGCATTGACAATGCTAGTTTAATGTTATAACCATTTGGGTAGTCTTTACTGAAAACGTAGCGAAATTAATTGAGTTCTTGTCACTTGCATTACTTTTTAAAAGCTATTGGGAAAGTGTTAGGACTATGAAAGTCTGGGTTAGGGTAGATTTTTGGAGTTTATTTTTGATACAACGCCTTTGCCCATTACCAGGCCAAAGAAAAGGGCCCAACCTCTTTTCACAACTATGCAAACACACAGGGCTTCCGTGCGGTCAAATAATGCGAGATGATCTTGTGATCCCCGAAACGGTAAAAAGATTCTCTTCATTTAAATTTGAATATATGGACAAATCACAGTTACGTAATTACGACTTTAAAATGACGCACGCACTTATTTTACTTACACTCATAGAAATGCAATCAAGTAGTGTTATTTGAAAGCTAGTCCTGTTATGATTAGTTCATCGACCAACCTAATGCCCCTCATTTTAGTAGTATGATACTACAATGGTTGTCCTTTACTTACCTCCATAAATTTGTAGATATCAGCAACAAAGGACCTTTTATTAAGCAAGTCTGATACAGACTCAACGCACCGACTTCCCACAACTTGGACCACCCTTAGGTAAGAAAAGTGGATCGATTGTTCACTTTGGTAATAACATGCATGTTGCGTTTTATCGTTTTACAAGCAATTTAAAAGACGTGAATTACAAAACTTTTTTGAACTATGGAGGGTTAGCATGGCAATGGCTACATCGTACTTCATTCTTACAGTACATTTTGATGCCACGCAGCACCGTTGCTTTGATTGAAAGTGGTGGATAACCGAACACACTTTCTGTAGAGGTGATCTGATTCTCTTCACCCCATCTGCGGTTCAACCGAAAAGAGGCCAACCAGTGACGGCGAAAGAACTTTTATTTTTGACTGAAGGTTGGATCAATTTGAAAAAAGTAATCAAAAATGCGTGCTTGCCTCTTTTAATGAGCAGGATTAATTGTGTGGTTTGGGACACTGTCTTACCAAGGTTAATCGGCATGGTATTCTTGAGTGATGAAGGACCTGTCAAACGTTTTAGGGAACCTGGAGAAAACATGAGCTCTACGAAACAGATGCAGGAACTGCAGCGTACATTGGCATGCTGAAGCAAAACATACAGTAGGTCTACTGACAGTGCTCGTCATCTACATCAGCCTG